AATATATATATATTAATATATACATAAGCTAAGTACATAAGATATACAACTACCTTTAAGAAACGTAGTTCCTTGTATAATGCATAAGTAGGTATCGTTGGGTCTCCTGGCACTATCTTTACATGCTATACAGAAATCAAACACGTTGTTCAGACAATATATACAGTAACACTCCTGTTCTATCTTATTAGACTTTCAAAAGTCTAGTAATTTGCTTCAAAGTTATTATTGCGGGAACAAAGTGACTTCAAAATACATTTAAACTAGCAGCATTAATATACTGCCTTGACACCCCAAGCCCCTTATGCAAAACAGCTTTAAATAATATCTCACGGCGGTAGCAGCTGCATTGTTGGGTGGCTTCTGTAGCACCTTGTGAACCATCTCCCACCTAATATCAAGCTCAATGTTGCTGCTTTTGTTGTCCCAGTGGTCTCCTAGTAGTACAAATGATGCATGTGCCTTTGTGGGACCCTAACAAAGTAATATGAAGCATCACAAAAGCATAACTATTCAAGATAACTATTCAATTAAAAACAAACTTAGTTGTTTTGTAGTTTCACGCTAAAGCAATAATAACTGATAGTTTAGATATTGTAGATTTATATACTTACAAGCGAATGATATCCACCCCATAAGTTGCTTTTCACCACATCTTCAATCGTCATAATGCTTCTACTGTGTTTTTCGAATGGCCCTAAAGTAAAATCAACCAATTGTGTCAATAATGAAAGAAAGAAAAAAGTAATAATAATATTGGCAAATAATACACTAATACAAACACTAATATTTATGAGCGTATCACATCTTTTATCGCATTGATCTTTTTTGCATGATGAAAACAATTGAAAACTGCACGCTCTTGTAGAGATCTCTGTGCAAATGTAAGGTACTCTCATTACTCTAGTTATCATATTTAATTCACAGAAATACTACGAGAAAAGATAATCAGACAGAATGAACCCAGTAGGTCCGAATGAGCATAAGCCTGTGCCTCAGACCTACCATCTATTGTCACAGTGTATGTTGACAAACCCATGTAGTCCTTGCGTTTGACAACCTCACTTCCTACATACACCGTGTGTTCAACATCATGTCCATTACACAACACCCATAAAGGAGGCAAGTCTTCTACAGTGCTGTCTATTACTCTATCATCTGGAGGAATGCATGGGTTACATGCCAGTGCATACAGTGAAAGAAAATATCTGAAAAGCAAAAGAAAGGTGAATTATATCACACTGCCGTTTTGAATGATTTTGATCGATGTAAATTCCAAATTTCATATTTCTTTGTAAGGTACCTTGCACGTGCAGAGTCTATAGGGTACCAGTCGCCTTTAACACTTCTGGGCTTTCTTTTTTCGGGAGTTTTGAATTTCCCAGTTGCCAGATCCATGAACGAGGTCTTTAGCGGTGAGCCTCCCAATTCAAAGCATGATGCACCATCTGTGGGAGTGCATGGTGGCTGACTACTACACTCACTCTCATCCAGCTGCTGTTCCTACAAATAATGTATAAAGCAGCAAAGTTTTTGGCTACCAGCACCACATATGCTCACCACTAACAATAATTCACGCATCAGCCAAATATGATACTGGTAATAAGCAATCAATTATGAATGAACTACTAAGATTTCATATAACTTATTTGAGAATTACAGTAGTTTGTTACTGACAGAAAACCTACACTAAGCAATATAACCCCCAGGCCACATTTCTTAAATGATCCCTCAATTGTTTGTGGTAGTCCAACTGACCTGTTAAAATAATATCAGCATCGAATTATTACATTAATTACTGGAAGCAAGAAAGCATTACAAGATGGCTTCATTTATATAACATACACCAACCTGGTTTACATTCTCTTGTTGGTGTTGAATACCCTGTAGAAGAAAAATGTCAATATCTTCCTGTTTTGCAGAACTGGCTAGAATTGGATAGCCTGCTTTCACACTTTTCAATTCAAGAGAATATTCCTAGAAAGAACAGACCACCACAGTATAGCCTAGAGATTACGCATTTACTTTGTAAATAAATTTCACGATAGACACAACCATTAATTGCACTACACATATTTCTTCTGTTGCAAATAACTACATGAAAACATGACTATTAATTATTCTATTATATCATGATATGAATGAAATACTACACATTATACTTACTTGAAAAAAACCATGTGATGGATGGTCTTTAATGTGGCTGAAAATTAATAAATTTAAAATTACAAAGTAGGACATAACACCAGAAATATAATTTTGTAAAGTAATGATGAAATGCTGATATATATAGCCGCAAACAAAATTGTGGGAAAATGCATGGCATTGTTAGATTTTCAAATGAGAAAAACAATGGTCAGTATTTAGTATCATACTCACAGGTAACTGATAATAGGATTTGTAGACATGTATTGTTGTATTTTTATGTTGAATTCAGCAATTTGTTTTATACACCACAGGTATACAAACACAGGCACTTAATTTGGTTGTGTCAATAACCAAATGGTAGTAAATAAACATGAGTTATATTTACTACCAAAGTTTCAATGTTTATGTAGGGGCCTACCAGATCACTGTGCAGTTCAATGGTTTTGCGGCAATTATGCCATTATATGCACTTCTGAGAAATAGAGCAGCTGGGAAAGAGTGAGCATCAAATATGCAACCCGCTTGCCTTATTTCAAACTATCACAGCACAAATGCACAATGAAATGCCTCCAGTTTTTGCGTCTGTTCGTGAACTAGTTCACTTGTTAAAATTTCCTCGCATTAGGGTACACCTGCCCTGGTGACCTGCATTTGCCCAGGAAAATCTCACAAAATCCTACAAAAAATTAGCCATCAGAATAGTAGCAGCACCACAGGGAGCACGAATTTTGCTTGTTCCACCAGGATCCTTCCTACTCTGTGGCAAAGGGAAGGGTTGCTTATATAGCTTAGTATAACACTTAAACTCATTATTGATGAATTATACCTGTTTCTCATCCAATCACCAAACTGTCCTACTTGTGGCAGTTGTGTTCTTGATCGCATTGCGCTTTTAATCCTGCAAATTGCACAAGAAATTACAGTGCAGGGGCGTGTACAGGGGGGGGGGTCCAGGGGGTCCGAACCCCACCCCCTGCTCGCGCAGAAAACGCATCTAAGGGGGGGTCTAATTTCAAAAAATTTCTGGGGGGAGGGGCCCAGATATAAGATATAACAGTTTTATTTTTCGCTTAAAACATAGAACAAGAATTTACAAGGCAAATAAGAAAATAATACCGCGAAGGGATGGCGAAAAGACCATACGGTCATCTAGTCAGCCATCCCCCCTTCGCTAGATACAATAATGTAACCCAAACCCAAGAGGATAGGGTTACAAAGTGTCCCTATCCTTTTCTGCGGAGGAATGCCCGAGTGAATCACTCGGGCCGGTTTGCTGGTGCGTTTTCAGATACTAGAACTTCCAAACTGGGTTTATTCTAAACACGAACCTTTCTCCGCTATTTGGGAACTTACTATGTATCGCAATACCTACTCTGTATTAAACTCGTTACAAAATTCGAAGTGACGAGCGGCGAATAACTTGAGCGGCCTATTTCTGTTGGACCTGTGACGTTACCGCATTCCACAATGCGCATAGCGATCGGCCAAACGCAGCGACCTCCGAATGGTCGGTGAATTCCACTTCTTCAAACCGAACGAACGCTCACCAGCGTCAAGCAGAAATTAGGCGCTCAAGTATATTCGCCCGCTCGTCACTTCGCAATTTTCCTGTAAGGCAGGCTTATATTATGGTTTAATACAGAGAATACTGCGATACATAGTAAGTTCCCAGATACGGTAGAAAGGTTCGTGTTGAGAATAAACGCAGTTTGGAAGTTCTAGTAGCTGAAAACGCACACAACAACGCACGCCCGAAGTGATATCACTCGGCCATTCTCCGCCAGAAAAGGATAAGGGACATCTTTGTAACGCCTCTGCCTCTTGGGTATCGGCGTTACATTATTGTATCTATCCCCTTCGCTAGCCTCTAGTAATATAGCCCGCAGCGATCGCTGCGCGGCAGGCCTATCGCGCGCAGCGATCCTGGCCGGCTATAGTACTGAGAGCTACCCCTTCGCGTGCTCGCAAGTTTGGGTTACGGTTAGACCCCCACTGGTACAAATCCTGTACACGCCCCTGCAGTGCCAAATTTGATAATTAATATCTTGCATAAACCCTATGGCTATACAGTATAGTATACTCCTATACACTATATAGGGAGCAAATCCACTTTAGCCTTAGCCTAGGCCAGGGCCAGGCACCTTAGGCTTAGCCGAACGAAGTGATGCACAGGCTTTCCGTATATCAAGGAATGATGCAAAAGGTTAGGGTTAGGGTTAAGGTTAAGGTTAGGATTATCAATCATTAATTATTAATGATATCAAAGTTGGGAACACTCCTAATGGAGCGTTAAGCAAAACTAGGCATACCTAGGTAAACAATTCTCGCGCCAATCCTTTGCGGAAGTAGTGAACCGATGTGCACATTGGTAAACGGAAGTTATTACTGCTGGGGTCGACAAAAAGTAGTTATTTAAATTACTTAACTATCAGATCTGAGCTATCGGCATAATATTTATAACACGTAGCGCATTGGTTGTGTTATTATAGTAGATTTAAATTAAACTAGTATCAATTTCTATGCATCTTAGATAGATTTATCGTGATACTATTTGCGCGTGTACGCGTAATGCGCGTGAATGTAGTTCGTCCTTTTCGTGGATAAGTAGAAGTAACTTTTCGAGTCTGAAAATTGGGCTCCCCAAGTTTATGATAAGATGGTGTGTATGATGATTTATTCAGCCTTAAACGTTTTAAGTGTAATGGTGAACACATGGTGCTTTCTTAAAATGAGCTTGTCACCTTTATTAGTTAATATTAATATGGATGATTTCGTCGTAAATGTTGGAACTACCCGGTTTCGCCATGTGTGGTGGCCATCTTGCACTTGCAGGATTGAATGCTAGTCTAGATATAACAACTTCAAACTTGACGTAGTCGCTTAGGTGGGCAGATTTAATTAACCAAAGCCGTAGTAACATTGTAAACGTGTTCGTTTTGTGACGAATTCAATGAACTGTTGCGCGGAACGTAGTTGAATAGCTCGGTAGTGGACACTAGTTGCAACATGTGGCTGCGTAAAGCAGGTCAACCTCTTCTCATTCCCGTTAAATGGCGTTATCTTATATAACTTCAAGTTATACTTGTAAGTTGTAATCAACGTAACTAGTGTTGTAGACCTAACTCTTTGTAATACTTTCAGACGACAGCGTTGGCCCGGCCATTAGTGGCTGTGTATAGTGAGAAGAATGAAGCAAGTGGATCAACCATTCCTCTGCCGGCAGTCTTCAGGGCTCCAATAAGGCCGGACATTGTTACTTTCATCCATAATCAGATGATGTGCAACAAGAGAATCCCCTATTCTGTTTCGGTCAAGGCTGGTAGGTCCTAATATGGTTACAGTAGTGCTGGAAGCTCGTGGGTTCTTGGGCATCCTGACGTGTGTCTGGCAGAACATCTTCACTTTTTAGCTCATCTGACATAGTCAGATGCAGCTTGTAGAATCGCACGATCGTCCGTCCGTCCGTCCGTCCGTCCGTGCGAGCGTCCGTCCGTCCGTCCGTCCGTCCGTCACAGTCTGGGCACGCAAATCTAGAAACGGCTCGACGTACGGTCACCGCATATTCGGGACGGGTGGCGGCCGCAGGTATCCGAGAACGAGTTGGGATGTCGAAGCTGCGGGCGTCAAAGGTCAAGCCGTCAAGAGGCTGTAAAGAGGCGGCTGAAAACATTCACTCCTTAACTTAACGGTATGGGGAATTGCAGGAATTGCCCGGCACAAATCTAAAACGCGCTCGACCTGAGGCTTCGTGATAGTCGCGTGTATAGCATCATGGTAGGAAAGCCATCACTGTGCGAAATTGGGCAGCGTCAGCAGTCATAAGGTCAATGGGCCAGCAGCCGGCAGATTTTAGACATCTTTTCTGAGGACATGGTCTGACGGGAGCCGATTGCGAAAAACTTTTTGTCTTCAGCGGTGACTAGCATTTTTATGACCTTTATTGAAAAGGGACCATGAAATGTCCTCTTCTTGCTTGAAATGCGAAGAGTAAGCTGTCGCCGCATAACCTTTTGACCTCAAAAGAGGAGGGTTAAAACATGCGATTTGTTTACTGTCTGTTAGAAAAGAATTTGACTGCCCGCGTCTTGCTAGTAGACTCTAATACTATGCCTGGATGTACGAAGGCTACAATGTCACAGTGAAATTTCAAAAGCCTAAATTTTGGTTGAAGAACGTTTATGCCTCCTTAAATCTATAATTTCTATGCCATTTCTGTACTGCTCAGTTATTATTACATGTAACGTATTGCACTCGCCAGTGCAGTGTGGTGGTGCTGTAGTTTTTTGCCTGCCGCTTAATTAGTTACAGGGGCAGCTCTCTAAATTGCAGCCTGTAGGCTTTGCGTAGGTAAATGGCATGAAGTGCCTAACTACGTCCTCCTGTCTTGCAAATAGTTGTTGCTACTACGCTACGATGGGGCTTCCATCTTTAATCTGAAGACACGTTAACGTAACGCGCTGATCTGTGGCAACTTTCATAAGATTCCAACAAACATTCCCTTTGAGAAGGTTTCCTGATAACCATCCCTGTGCATCACTGTTTCGGCGTGTATGTGAACACATTTGGGACTAACAGGGTTTACTAGAATCCCACCACTCCACCACAGAGTCACCGCAGTAGACGTTAGATGAGCGCTGTCGCTCCGCGGCACTTGTTGACTTTATTCTCAGTATAGTATTCAATAACATTAAAGTTCTGGTTAGTTCATAACATTCTAGTTATGATGGGTAAGCTTGTCTGTGTAATGTTTTTGTGAACAAAAACTTCAGCTGCCATATGCAATGTTACACCTCGTGTACCTGACACTGTTTTCATCTCTGATGCAATCCAGGTCATCAGACGTCGGCCGAGTCATGGGGAACAGGCCGCGCCGTGGCGCGTATCCCCCGCGTGCGAGGCGGAGGCACCCACCGCTCTGGTCAGGGAGCTTTCGGCAACATGTGCAGAGGTGGTCGCATGTTCGCCCCGACAAAGACCTACCGTCGCTGGCATAGGAAGATCAACATTAACCAGCGCAGATATGCCATGTGCAGCGCAATTGCGGCAACTGGCGTCCCTGCCCTGGTCATGTCCAAAGGTCATTACCATTTGATTTCCGTGTGCATGGGGTGCATATTTATTTAATAAAATTTTGTGTTTCAATATCTTTTTTGATCATGTGTGTGTGTGGATGTGCACCCGGGATTATTGGGGGACCAGGAATTGGAAACTTTATGGGTTTGGGAGACGTGTGCGAAATGCTGTTGCACGTTGACATCCTTGTTACACATGTATGGTTTTGCTTGTAGGTCACAGGATTGAGGAGACGCCAGAGATACCACTCGTGGTCTCAGACAAGATGGAGGAGCTGAAGAAGACGAAGGAGGCTGTATCTTTGCTGAAGAAGTTCAGAGCATACACAGACATTCTCAAGGTCAGTCACTCGCAAGTCTGTCGTAATCCGAAAAAATTGTGGCGTGTTAAGAAATTTTTGTTTCTGTTGTCATTTCTTTGCAGTGCAGGCTGTAATTTCAAGTTTTAAAACATGATCTGGCAAGTTCCACCGCAGTGTCTAGTAGGGGTGTCACGATACAATGCGTATTGTGATACGTATACATTGGTATAAAAAAGAGAAACAGATACAGAGAGGGGGGCCTGGGGGATTGTGGGGAGATGGGGCGTGAGAGAAAAAGAGATGCAGAGGTTCTGAACTCAACCGAAAATTGAACTCTGCTTCCAATGGGGAATTTTTCTTAATTTATTATTGTGACATAAAATGAGTATACTACCATCTCCTTTTACTCTGTTAATGTGTATGTGAAAATTTGTTAAAACATGCTAGGTGGGTTTGTAAAAACATGCTAGGTGGGTTTGTAAAAACAGAAAAATTGTCATGCCGAACCTCAAACAATTCAACATGACAAAGTATGACTTGCGTGAGATATGATTATTGATCATCCGTTGCGGGTGAAATGTAAGCGGTCTCAAATAACACAACTGAATAAGTTATACTTTCTTGTGTGGATAACATGGGTAGGAGCTTGATACATATAGATAATGGGTGTGTGCCTCCCTAAAGGTGTAACAGGCATGAAACTAGATTTTTACTGAAAATTGATTTCATCTTAATTTTCTGGTGCCTTGGTCAAACGTTAGACATCTATAGTGTCTGATTGATCGCACTTCTAGTGGTGTTCTGAACTGTACTATAGGTTATAAAGTCGAAACGATTCCGTGCTGGAAAGGGAAAGATGAGGAACAGACGACGTGTGAAGAAGCGAGGCCCACTAATTATTTACAACAAAGATAATGGCTTGAGGAGGGCTTTCAGAAATATTCCAGGTAAGTGTTCTCTAATTGTCGACAGGGCCTTCTAACGCTATGTCGTGTCCGACGATTCTTCTCAGTTGAAGCTAATTTGCGACATCCCATAATTCCTCTGGTATATATAATTATATACTTTAAATTTCTGCTGTGTTTAATTTTGACAATCCTGACACGGTCTTTCTGTTTTCACAGCTTGTTTCCAAACTAATAGTGTTTATCTTTGTGTTCGGGTCACTAGTGACACGTGTAATTTATTGAGTGCAATTAGCAACCGGGTAAGAATAATTTGGATCTCCGACATGCCTGCTGAAGTTCGTAGGGAGGACCCTAAAAGTAGATACTGTCATGAGTAGTGTTGAAAAACTCTAGCTCCTGTGCATTTTTTCCATTTTTTCAATGTGTAAATTGACAGGTTTGTTTCGAGAGATGTGAGCGTAGTTGATTTAGAGAATTTTTGAGAGCAGACAGGAGTAACAATTTTGTTGTTGTTGTTGTAGGTATCACACTTATCAATGTCAGCCAGTTGAACCTGATGAAGGTTGCTCCTGGTGGACATGTAGGTAGGTTTTGCATTTGGACAGAGGGTGCTTTCCGCAAACTAGATCCCTTGTACGGCACATGGAGAAAGGAGTCTAGGATAAAGAAAGCATACAAGTAGGTTGAACGCAATGTTGCGATGTGAATGATAGGAATGCGCTTTACATTTTGGTATACTCTATATCATGGTTCGCACAGTCCTTGAATTTGAGGGGTGTCCTTGAAATGTACTTGAATTTAGTAAATGTTGATTTTGTGCTTGAAAAGTCCTTGAATTTCATGAAAATGTCCTTGAATTTTTAGAAAGAATCCATGCCTGTAATAAAAAGAAATTTTGTACTATCAATAATGTGCAAACCTCAATAAAAATTGCGTTAAATGAGCTTAAAAAGCTATAGACACAATAGACAGTTAAATGATGATCACAAATTACAGT